CAGGAATATAGCTTAAAACAGATCAAAATTTTAGCTTAAATACCAAAAAAATAGAGTAGCTGAGTACAAGGTAAGTTATCCTTTTCTAAACATGTGCAGTCTGCTGAAGATGTCTGAACTCTCCAATTCAGTTAATCTGTTGCTAGACCTCCAACACCCTTCCGTTTCATTAACAGCAAAGAGGGCAAGGAAGGACACTTTCTCCTCACTACACTCATTTTCCTACACAAAATTGGTAAGTCCTTTCTTCAGAGTCATCTAACACCACACAGCACCTCTTCTCTGTTGAAAGCAGGCGTTAAATTCAGCATACACAGCTGCCAGTGCTCTGCAAGCACAATCTAGCCAATTGCTATTTCTTGCCACTCTTAACTCAGTGCCTTTGTAAATGGTAAAACAAATCCGAAAACCGATTCTGTTGTGCCATCGCTTACACAGCTCACAATAATGCCTGAGAAAGTAATACTGTAGTATGCCAAATTTGTCTAATCCTTAGCTCTATTTCTTTCCTAAATACCCAAATAATTTCCCTGAACGATGCAGTAGTCTACATGCCACCCCTGTCCCAGATAACAAGCGCAGGGTATCTTGCCACCTCAAATAATGGGAGCTCTTAAACAGCAGTGTTCTCCCACCCTGAACTGATTTTGTTTATTTATTTATTTATTTTTAGGCAGAGAAGAATAACTAGGAACAGAAAATCTCTGCATCACAAAAATCTATTCTGTTTGGGCAAGACAAATCCCGGCCTTCCCATGAACTTGTATGATGTTAATTTATTTGGACTGCACATTTCATTTTCAGCTACAGTGTAAAATAACCATCCCAAGGATGAAAATAAAACCTGCAATTTGCAGCAGAGCAACCCAAGTGTTGCAACCAACTCCTAAATCCTCTCAACTTTTAGTAGAAGTCTGTAAAGTCTGTCAGCCTGTGCACTCCTGTATTCCACACGGTCTTAAGGACAGGAGTGAGTTTTCCGTTTCTCTTTTGGTGAAAAGATTTACAGTTTATCATCCAAACCAAAACAAGGAAAAGTAGTTTTAACTGTCTCTTAAATAACATCTTGCTGTCGACAGAAATAAAACCATGGCCCAACATTTGTAAGCCACAAACTCCAGCTCTTGCTTTTGAAACTGAACTGAGCTTTCAAAATCTGAGTGCAGTCAAGTTTGTAATGGCTTGCCTTTGGAATTATCCAGATTTTCATTATAATATGCAAATAGGAGAGTGTGCAGTGAAGGAGAAACAGCTGATCTCTATCCCTGACCTCTCCCCATTACATCCTATCTTCCTCCTAGGAACAAAATACCTCAACTAGTATTCCTTGAAAATGTTTTGGGGCAGGCAACAAGATACAGACAGACATACCATTTACAAAGTGTCATTCTAGGAAAACAGTTAACCCATTTGCTCTGAGAATTCTGTCTTAATAATCTGCTCAGTTTAAAAAAAAACAATGCTAAATACTTAAACAGAACAAGCAAACAAGAAACCCCAACATACTACACTCACATACCAGCCAAGATCTGAAAAGGTAACAAGAATCCTCAGGAATAAAGGAGAGAAGTATATTGTAGGTCCACATTCATAGGTGGGGCCTCTCAGAGTTTCTAAGCAACTTAAGGCTGCCTTGCTCAATTGCTAGGGGAAAGTAAGATAAAACATTAATCTTATCTAACTTCACATGAACAAATAGTTGAAGGCACCTTTACAATCAATAGTCAGTGGAGTCAAGACAGCAAGTCATTTGATCAAATAAAAGTGCTGACCTTAGCATAAGAATTACTGCTCTCTAGACTCCATTGATTGTATTGATTTAATCTATACAATGAAAATTGGTTCCAATGTAAGATTCAGACACCTAGGCAACAAGGAATCCCACCCCAACAAACCTTTAATTGCTTCACTTCTCTTCTTTTGACTCAAGCTTTATTTTATTAAGAAACAAAAATTACTTCTGTTTTACTAAAGTCATTGTCACTTTATGCAACTAGTCAAACATCTGTAGACAAGAAACAAACACACAAACTAAACCAGGGCTACTCAGACATAGCAGTGACTTTACAAACAGCTATACCCCAAGACTTGATCAAAGAACGAGGGAATTCTAGCATTTCATCCCAAATAAAAGAATGCCTAATAGACTAAGCTATAGCAGAGATGAAAGGACAGACAGAAACACAACTAGGTCCATACAAATTTGATAGATCTCCACATATCAGTTTGTTAGGTCATAAAAGACAAAAATATTTTGAACCAAGAACTGTTTTTTGCCTTGCACACAGTCTGTTAGCTCTTTCCACCTGCTGCCATACAATCCACCATCACAACTTCCTCACACAATAATGAGATTACTTTTGTATATTTCCTTATGGACTATACCTCTCGGTGACAGTTTGTCTAATGGTAAAAAAAACCCAAACCAACTCTCTTGGTTGCTGCCACTAGCTCAGTTCTGCCATCTGAGTTCCTCCTCCACAAGGTGCCAACATCCACAGTATTTCTACATATTTTATGCCTTGTGTTCTCCTGCCTCAACAATAAGGCCAAGCAAACCTAGAATTCTAACATGAATTCAAAAGAACTTTGTGCTAGAAGCTGCTGCAAGTCCCTGAAAAATACAAAAGAAAGTCACTTCAAAACCAAGTCCTTTCAACAGAGGAACCTCTTACCACCTTGAAGCCTCTCAAGCCGTTACAGTTTTCAAGACCCTCCAAGCTTAAGTATTGCAAGCCCCTGCCAATCATCTTTTTAAGCTCAGATAAGCCCACACTTCTCACTCCTGACCTTACAGTGCAGATGTAAGGAGAGCTGCTCTGCCCTCCCATCACCTTCAATTCCCAACGAACCTAACAAAATGTTAGCATTCCTCTACCCACTGTAGCTTTCCCAGATTCCACTTGAGGCAAGAAAGCCTGGCAGAACTTCAGCATCTTGGGTATAGAATATATAATTGCATACTCTGTAACATAACCCTCTCCAAGGGATTTCCAACCAGTCTTTGCAATGCTGTTGATTTCTGGACACCCTAGGCTCTCTAAAATCCCTGCATCTTCCTTCTCAGGGCAGAACAGCACTGCACACAAATGAATGCACTTAAAATCAAGGAGATAAGACCAAACAGGCCTATCCGCATCTTTCTCTAACCTGCCTATGCATTCTGTAAGCAGAACGAGGCAACACAAAAGGTTAGAGGCAGCACATTTCACAGATGTCTCCATGCTGGTCATCAATCTCCTGAGCTCAGTGGCTCAACTCACTCAGACTGTTCCAGCCCAGAATAAAAACAGTTGCTTATGCATGAAGTATAGCACTCACATGACCCTTGAAAATGCCTTCTTCTAATATTCTAGTCATTGAGCATAAACTTCTCTCTATCGTGTTTTTTCCTAAGACAGACAGAACGTAAGCACAGAGGGTTGTTCCTAAACAGCAGCTCCTGAAGCCAGGAGTAGATACCTTAGTGATAGAAAAGACTTGGAGCAATCACGGAATCAATCCTTTCTGCACAAGATATTTTTCCTGCCCATTATTCCCAACTCTTTGTTTCAGGGTTAGTGGTCTGGGTTTGGTTTGGGTTTTTTGGTTTGGTTTTGGTTTGGTTTTTTGTTTGTTTGGTTGGTTTTGTTTGTTTCTTTGTTTTGGGGTTTGTTTTTTTTTTTTGGAGAGGGGGATTAGGAAAAGAAATACATTAGCAATGATAGACAAGTTACACAGAATGTCAATGTTTTCAGGTAAAACAGGCAATAGAATCTCACTAAAACTTTTCAAAGTAAAACCTTTGTAGAAAAGAATACTTTTTAAAATAACGAAATTTATATCAGCCATAGTAAAAGATACACATTTTAATCAGCAGGTTTACATTGTCTAACAAGTATCTGTCACACAAAACAAGAACTATAAAGTTGAAATAATATTTTACTGCATATGACTAATCTTAAACTGACAGAACTTTATTAGTTTGAGATTGGGTACCTCATGATTGATGACAGTCCAGCCACAAGATGAATCACTGTCGCTGGAATTTTCAGACATTTTCAAAGCACACTGCAAGTAGAAGTAGATTCTTTTAACATGCAAGGTAGACTCATTTCACTGCACTCTTAAAAAAAAAAAAAAAAAAAAAAAAACACGCAACAACAACAAACAAAACAACAAAAAACAGAAGAATTCAAATCATGGTATTACAGAACACTACACTAACCCACAAACTATTATTCTGCAATTACAAAAGAATAAAATGGGAGTCTAGAAAGAAAATATACTTTGCACATATTTCCTATTATATTTTTTCTATACACACACAGGGCTAGGGACTAATTAAATTTTTCTGTAGCATCATTGTTTAAGATATGTTTCATAGGTGAAATCATTCATGAACTGTTACATGCTCAGGAACTACAGTTTATTCAAGAAAAACACCATGTGTTTTTTGAGAAGACACAAATTAGGATCTTTTGGAAATAATATTCTTCAACTACAGGGTAAAACAATGTTTCAGGTTTCTTTCACTCCTTTCAGGTGCTCTTGAATAGACTGATTCTGAAGAAAACTGAGAGTTCCTAGAGAGTACAAAAACAAAGCAAAAAACCCGAAGTACAACTTTGACTCATTACAATACTACCAGATGACTTTGGTAGTTATTTTCAGAAGATGACTGTCTGGCTGCAGCTGCCCGTTTCTTTTTAATCCTGTACTAAGAATACAGAGTATTCATTATTGTTACACATTAAGATTATTTTTTAAAATTTTTAACTAACACAAAGACTTCTAGGAGAACTCTAATGCATTTCTTGTTCCTTAAAATAAGAATATCAAGTTGTTAAATAAAGTTTACTATAGATTTACTTGAGGAAAAAAAAACTTCCCCAAAACAGAACAATTTCCAAGGAATTGTGTGCTAAATTACACATCCAATGTAATAAAATAGCAAAAGAAATAATGGTTCAATAAAGTGTCTATAAAATTACAAATATATAAAATTACAAACTATAGAGTTCAGAAAACTTCAGACATCTGCTTTATTTCTCACATCTAGTTACTGCAGTAAGAACATAAATTTAAACAAGTAGTTGCTTTTCTCTATTTACTCTGTGTTATTATGAATCCTGTCTTTACTCCCAGTTTGTTAACACAGAAAATACACACAAACCTTGAACTAGAACATCTAAATATCCTGGTATGGCTAGAAATTTGTACTAACAAAATACAAAACTTCCAACTCCATTTAGGTTTCTTACAAACTATGGCAAACTTTTGTCTCATATCTCTGCATTACAGTAGTTACAGGATGCTTTTCTAATATAGTACATTTTCCTCATCAAAGTCAACTAACACATTTGGGGTTTCTCTGTAAAAAAAGGTTGTGACAATCACAACCGGAGTTTATAAAGTAAAAATATCCACTAATAATCAACTCAGGTATCAAACTCATGGAGAAAGTGCACATCCATTTATCATAAAGCCCTGCTTTGAATACATGTGTCATTTTCCTTTAGATCTTTTTCTGCCTTCATTAGTGATTTTCCTGGAATCTCAGCTAGGGAACATAGCAGGAGCAGTAGAAGGGGCTTGTTTTGCATTTGTTGTTTTTCTTAAATCACAATGTATTCAATCATCAAAAAACTTTTTGAGTCATGAGTTTTTTTTCCTAAAAAAATAAAAAAAATCATACTTCAGTCATCAAAATAACAAACGCCCAAATGGTAACGATTGAGTTCCAGAGTTCTCACGAGATTATAACATATGCTTTATATCATTATATTATTTTGAATTTCATCAGGCATTCAGCAGAGCAGCATTCCCTTCAGAGGAAGGTAATTACCAGCACCACAAATTGCCACCTAATAGAAACATCACTGGCTACATACCAGAGATCTGAAATTATCTTTCAAGACTTCCCTTCAGCATAAAAACATTCCCATTTAATTATTCTACAGTTCAGCGAATAGAGCAAACACAAGAGTAACAAATTTATTGTCATTGAAAACAAAGCCTTTCGTGTAAGCAAAAAAATAGTTTGGAGCAACCACAGTACAGGCAGCTACCCAGCCCTCACCAGTGACTCTGCTCACCACTGTGGAAGAAATCCAGGCTGCAGTTTCATAACATGGTGATCCCAGTTTTAGGGCACCTCAGTCTCAGTGCTAGATGAAAAACAATGAAGTCACACAACACAAATCCTTTATAAGAAAAACAAACAAACAAAAAACCCTGTTGATACAGATTGTGCCAGGGGAGGTTTAAATTGGATGTTAGGAAGAATTTCTTTACTGAAAGAGCAGTGAAGCATTACAACAGGCTGCCCAGAAGAGGTAGTGGAGTCACTGTTCCAGGAAGTGTACAAAAAATGTGTGGATGTGGCACTTGGGGGCATGGTTTAATGGTCATGGTAGTGTTGGGTGATGGTTGGACTTGATGATCTTACAGGTCTTTTCCAACCTTCACTCTATACAACTGCATTTACAAATTTGAAAAAGGCTACTTTTAACAGCAGACTGTGCTGGACATTGTAACACCTGTCTTCCTCTAGCTAACTCAGCATTTCACCATGGCCCTGTCTAATTCATCACAAATGCTATCCCCTTCTCCCTCTCCATCCACAGCACAGGCTAACAGGTAACCGAGCAAATCCTATTGAACACACAACCATGGCCCCAGGCTCCATGAGCACTAAACACCTGTCTTCCCTTCCCAAAGGAAAGCTTCAGGACCTATGTGCCTACCAGCATAATCAAAAAATATTTAAAAGATAAACAGAGCAACAAGCATACAAACAATCATAATTTTTCTATTACTTGCTGTCTGGCCTTGAGTTAAAAGTTACTTATCTTGTATTCAACCAGGATATTACGCTAACACCACATATTTAAATGCATACAGCTGATCAATTTCCAAAACAGAAAAAAAAATTTTAGAAAATGATATAAAAAAGAATAACTACAAAACCATTGAGGTTTATAGGTAGAACAGCTAAATTTATTAAAGATTATAGATAGACAAGAGGGCATCAGACTGAAGTGCATGTCTAGAGTTGCTGTATTCCTACAAGCACATTCAGCAACCATACATGAATAAAACAGTTTTCAAAAGTAAAGCATTTTACTAATTAGCTCTAAAAGAGCAAAACAGCCTACAAAGCTTTAAGAAAAAGACTAATACCTAGGTACAGTGTTCCTAAGCTTCAATCAACAACTAGAGTAAACAGCTTATTCCTGTAAAAAAAAAAAAAAAATAATAATAAAACACTCATAGTCATGACTAAACCTGAGGTCAAATTCAGTCCCTTAAGGTAACTGAAATACGGAAGACTAACCTGAGCCCAAATGTTAACCTGACCTACTCACAAGCTCTTCATCAGCTTGTATTCTCCACGACAAAGTGACAAAGACAAGTATGCTTTCCCCACCTGCCCAAAGGTGCTGCATATCATTGGTGCCGTCCACACATGTCCACGTTGTCTCCCGCATGTCAGGCCAAGCCAGAAAGAGTGACTGAAACCCACACCCACACCCACACAGCTTCACTGGTTTGGCTTCTTACTAAGCACCTCTGTTTACACTGTTTTTCAAAAGAAGGTTACAGTTCTTCTATAGTCCAGTTTAAACTACAAGGCTGATTCTAGGCCTGCAAATGCCCTAAGCTCTCAGCAGGGCATTTATCCAGACAAAATGAATATCCATTTATGTTCAGAGTTCAAATTCTATGTATTTTGAGATGGAAGGGTGGAGAGGGATGGGGAAAAGTCATGGAATCAGAAGCATGAACTACCTTCATAATCTTAGTAAAATGTAAACCAGAAGCATAAGGCGTAAAAGTTTACAGGTGATGATGTAATACCAAAACAAATGAGATGCCACAATCTATTTATCCCCTGTGAAGTAGAATAAATACCAGTCTCAGAAAGAATAACCATTCCAGTCTAAACAAACCCCTAAATTCTCCTGTCTTTAAAGATTTCCTAGACTAACAACAAACACCTCCGTAAGTGCTGACAAAGAAAAAGAAGACTAACAAGACAATGACCGGCAACAGTGTTTTTCAGGGTTTGCTGTGCTGTCATTTCAAGTAAAAACTCCTGGTTTTTTCTATGGCAGTTTCTTTATTGCACAGAAGAAATAAAAACCTGTTACAGTGCTACCATACTGCAGGGGTTTCATGCAAGTCTATTATTTCTAATAATGGTGTAATTTCTTTCCCGAAGTAACATTCCTTTTCATAAATATATTTAGCAATCCCTGACGACTACTTCCTTGCCACAATTTCCAGCAGAGCAAATGTGGCCGCTAAAAGCCAGCTCCTGCCAAAGGTGGGCACTCCCTGCCCAGCACCCACTACTCCTCTCTCACAGGTGCTCCTGTAACGCACCTCACGCAGGCAGCGGCACGGTGCCGAACAGCTAGAGCAACAATAACACGATTCATGAAACGGAACACCTTGCATCAGCCGGGGAGCTCACAGGCGGATGATGAAAGAGGGAAGTTGGCAAAGGCCAGCGCCCAGG